GCAGCAAAGCCAACAAGTGCAGCAAAGCGGCAGCGCTGCCTAAGGCTGCGTGTGACACAGGGCTGCCTTTCAGCCTGGCACTCCCTCCCGAGCAGCGTCCCCTGCTCTGCCTGGTATTTAGGAAGATGGGCTGGGGAGCCTCCCTAGCAGAGCAACAGGAGATAAAAACGGGGAGCAGGAAACAGCGAGATTAATACAGAGGCCAAAGGTAGCTAATTTGCAGCTTTTATTTTTTTTTACTCTTCTCAGTGTATAGCAAAGCAATTATTGGGTATTTATCTTACTGAGGAAAAAGGACAAAGAAATTGGGAAATTTAAAGATTTTAGATGCCAGATATCTGCACGTAAAGATGTAACTGCATCTTGAAATTAATTTCAAGAGCAAAATGAGACCTCATGTTTCCTGTAGCACCCTGTGCCCCTTCAGGCCCATGTTTCTGTGTGAATGTTTTCAGCTGCAGATTGCGCAGCTACGAACCCACTGATTCTGGGTATCTCTGGGGGCCTCCCAGAGCCACCAGCTCTGGAGCTCGTTTACAACCAGGTGATCTTGATTCTGCTCTCCAATATGCCCAGCAGTCCCCATTTGGGTTTGTGGGGGTAATGTGTCAAGCCACGAATGAGGTTAGTGTATTCAGAAGTGTATGTAGCTCTAAGCCCTATACTAGGTAACCTTTCCCCATTTCCAGCTCAGTGACTTCYAAGACCTTCAGCATCCTCGTTTACAGTACTGAATTATTTTACCATATTCTATCCATTATGCAGCTGGTTTTGTTGTTGATCTGTAATATATTCATTTATAGCAGGTTCTACCCTAGTAAAATACTTAAGTGTGCAGGTAGTTTGGGTGAAAAGAATGTGATTAGCTGAGATGAAAGTTAAACACCTGCCTAAGTGCTTTGCTGGGTTGAAGGCTTAGAAAAGAAGAAAAAAGATCAGACTATTTTTTGCTGAATGTGTTTCAGAGCTGCTTTATCTTAATAGCCTTATCACTAGCCTGTTACGGTGTAGTGGTGGGCAGGTGCCCCCGGCCAGGGCTCACCAGCCGAGGAGGATGTGACTGTGCCTGCAGAGCGAGGGCAGCAGCGGCGCTGAAGCCGCCCTCCTCTGCTAAAGCAAAGCCCAACTTCTTGGCCACACCACTTGTTTCGGGGAGAACGTGTTAGAAAAGGACACAGAGCACTTGGGTGTGTTAGAAAAGGACACAGAGCACTCGGTGTGTTTGTATGGCTTCCCTTAGCCCACAGAAGGCCGAGGACACTTAGCTGCTTAGCAAGTACCTTGCTTTTTCACCCTTTGTCTTAAAAATTATAAAAAATAAAAGTAAATGTGTCCTTTCTTACCCTTCCTTTCTCCTGTGTTCCCGAAGAATTATTTATCTATGCATATATTCTTTTGGCCTCCAAATTATCAGCCTTGTAAAACAAAACTGCTTTTTCTTCACAGACAGTTTACAAGGCCCTCAAAGCTGGTAGTTCTGCCTGTTATCTTTCAGAAGCGTGTTTATCTTCACTTGGGAAGCAACTGTGTGGCTTTGTTGTTTGTTCTTCACGTAATCTTTTGTGGATTTTAGATGAAAACAGCCATGCAAATAACTTTTACAATACACAGTATTTTCCCTGCATGGTTTCCCAAAGCTCTTGAGCTTGTTTCCTTGATCTGTGCTTCCGCTTTGTGTGGTGCTTCTGGGATGTAGAGCAAAGCACAAAAATCAAGTTCCTTAGAGGAACTCAGGACTGGAAGACGGTCATCRCACGTCCCATTACACAGTCCCCTTCACAGACTCACCAAACCTCACGTTGGAGGGCAGATTCTTCCCCCTGTGGGCATCAGGCACCCTGATGGGACCAGGCTGGGGGTCCCACAGTGGGGCAGGAGCCTGGTGGGGGCCACGTGCGAGAGCCCCATCTCACCACCCCTTTCCTGGGTGACCAGGACTCCCATGACACAAAACTTGCCGCAGCCTYGTGCACATTCCCAGCACTGACCCACTTCCCTCACTGCATTCCCAAACTACAGTCTGCTTTTCTACAGCAGCTGCTGTAGCTCAGGGAGGTCATGGGACCTGCTAGTATCCCYTGCTCCTTCTCCTTACTCATTTCCAACCCGTAAGCTCCTAGTTACTGAATTTCAGCCTATTTTTATTTCTGCAGTCATCAGGTTTCTTCTTTCCTTCTCTGCATTGACTCTAACTCCCAGTTTTGTGCTGTCAGCAAATTTTACCAGCRTACTCCTAATACTTGCCATGCTGGGAATTATACTACCTACTAGCTTTGATGGAGCAGTACAGCCTCCTTCAGTAATTCAGGTAACAAATATTTTATTATAGCCCAGGGCCAGCTAGCATTTTTACAGTTCTTTTAAGCATGCTATAAAATATTAGTGCCCAGATTGCTATATCTATACATAGTTAACGGCTATATACATCAGAGCTATTCAATTACTCATGAATAGAAGGGGCTGCAGCAGCTCCTGTCTTCTAATGACTTGCTTCATTTCGGCTCAGCTTGGATAACAGCGTGCCTTGTCTTCCCTCACCTTTTATCTCCCTGCATTTGGGATGACATTATGCACTTCTGCTGCTGCAAGGAGAGAAGAAAACACTTCACTGATTTTAATTTGCCTTTGCATCTTATTATCCCTATTACTATTTCCTTTCCCAGCCGGAAACCCCTAGATTTAAGAAGGCCACATGGACACTCTCACCTAGCTCATCTAGTCCACGCCTCCTGCTCCAGCAGGGACATCCAGAGCACCAGGCACAGGGTAGTATCCAGGTGGGTTTTGAAGACCTCCAGAGAAGGAAACTCCATAGCCTCCCTGGGCAGCCTGTCCCAGGGCTCTGTCMCCCTCACAGGAAAGAAGCTCTTGCTCACATGGAGATGGAACTGCCTGCGTTTCAACTTGTATCTATTGCCCCTTGTCCTATCACTGGCCACAGCTGAGAAGGGCTGGGCCCCATCTCCTTGGGCCAATCTAGGATCTTTTGGGCTAGTCTAGGAAGTTCTATCTGCAATACCRCCTGGATGCCGCCCTGTGCCCTGGGTGCTGGAGCAGGGGGCTGGACTAGAGGAGCTCTTAGAGCTCCTTCCCAACCTCAACTCTTCTGTGATTCTTTACATTCTCCCCTCAGGTACTTATACATATTGGTAAGATCCACTCTTAGCCTTCTCTTCTTCAGAGAAAACAGGCCCAACTCAGTCTCTCCTCATACRAGAGTTGTTCCAGTCCTTTAACCGTCTTGGTTGCCCTCCGCTGGACCCTCTCGAGAAGCTCCACGTCCCTCCTATACTGGGGAGCCCAGAACTGAACACAATATTCCAGGTGCGGCCTCACCAGAGCTGAGCAGAGGGGCAGGATCCCCTCCCTTGACCTGCTGGCAACACTCCTCCTGATGCAGCCAGGATCCCATTGGCCTTCTTGGCCACGAGGGCACACTGCTCACTCATGGTTAACTTGGTGTCTACCCGGACTCCCAGGTCCCTCTCTGCAAAGCTGCTCTCCAGCAGGTCAACCCCTAATCTGTCCTGGTGCCTGGGGTTATTCCTGCCCAGGCGCAGGACCCTGCACTTGTCCTTATTGAACCTCATGAGGTTCCTCTCTGCCCAACTCTCCAGCCTGTCCAGAGGTTCCCTTATAGGAATAACGCAGTTTCCAGACCCGCTGTGGCCAGGCCCTCAGGTCTCTCCCCGCGCAGTACCGTGCCCACCCTTCCCACCACTTTTCACTAGGGGGGCTCCCCCGGACCTGCCGCCTCGGGGGCCGCCTTTGGCCCCTCCCCCACGCGCGGCAGCAACGGCCGCCGCGTGACGGGGCAAGCCCCGCCCTCCACGAGGCAAGCCCCGCCCCCCGCTCAGCTGCCCCGCGCCTTCCGCCTCTCACGCAGCGGCGAGAGCTGCGACGGCCACGCGGATTGGTCCCTGAGGTCGGGGGGGGGCGGGATCAGCAGAGGGTATTTAAGATCCCGCGGGGGCCCGTGCTGCCGGTTGTGAGCGGGAGCCGGGCTCGGGCGGGCGCGGTGAGTGAGCGGGACGGGGCCCGGGCCGCACCGAGGAAGGGCCCGGGCCGCCGGGGGGACGCGGGAGGGCGGAGGCAGCGAGGCCGTTCCCCAGCCTCAGAAASGGTGCGGGGAGCGGCGCGTGGGCAGCGGCCGGCCCCGCGGCGCGGCCGGCCGTGCTCGGGAGGCCCTCGGGGCAGGG